TGAGTGCGTCTGCGGTACGCAGCGAGGATGATGCAAGAAAAACTAAACTTATATATATGTTAAATGCCTATACTAGAGAAATACGTCACGTATTTAAAACATATTGATTTGTTGATTTACTGCCGAGTATTTAAATGAAAAAAATGCCAAAAACGGCAATTATTCTTTAATAAATAATGTTTAAATTGAAGACATAGCTAGGCTGAGGAAACTGTGCCCAATATATTCTGAAGTAAGTTGTTTAATATATTCTAAGGTAAGTTTTTTTTTACAAGATTTTTTAAAATTTTTACTATTAACCTGTTGCTCCAGTGCTATAATATTATTATATTTTTCCATGTTATTCTATTTGTTCTCATTCTCTCTTTTTTGAAGATCTTTTGCCAAAAAAATTAATCCCTTTGTGTATCTGCCAAGGAGACAAATATTTACGGGTTATGAGATAAGAGTTAAATGAAACAGAGTTTATAAATTTATAGCCGAACTCATGGTTGACACTGAAAACTTAATCCCAAACTTTAATTTCTTAGCGAAAGCATCGATTCCTTTCGCATCGCTCTCAACCTCTTACATGCACTGGATGAACCTACGATAACGCATTTTAGTTTGCAAATGCTTTGAAATGAATTTATAATTCTAAGAGTAATTATTCATGGGTAAGTCTAGAGTACCATTCACATCGACTGCAAGAATAAACTTCTTTGACAGAAGGAAAATATTCAGTGTTTGGTGGGTCGAGAGGTCTAGAGATCTACTATTGTCTGTGAAAGGGTGACGAAGCGATTAATGCCAAAATATTTTAATCCTTTCTTGTTCAAAGAAGATGCGAAATGTTAGAAAAAGCGGCACACGGTTTCTCACGGCGTTCGGAGCACTCAACTGGAAAGTGCGAATTTGAATTTTGGATTATGTTGATTAAAAAGTTAGCATGTTTAGGAAAACCATATCAATAACAACTATAGTGCAATTTTAGTTGAATAAGAAGAGAAACAATTTTCTTCCATAAAAGTCTGGCCAGTTTTTCTGCTTTGTGCAATCAAAATCGAGAATGTGCTTAGCCACAATATTTGCATTAACCAGGTGCAATACATCCTAGTCCAAGTGCAAGAGTGAGATGTTTACTTTATATGAAATGTGGAAACTCGTTTAAGCCTTCATTAATATGTACAGAAATACATTCTCTGACGAATCCGCTTATGACTGCCTTAATAAGTGATTATATGCATACACATTCATGTCATCATTTTCATAGAAATATAATACATTGCGTACCAGAACAGGCAGATTGCATAACAACCATCATATTTGTTCACGCGTACCAGAATGCATAATATTCTCTGCAAACATTTTGAAACATGAAAACTTTATATTATTTGGAAAAAAAAATAGTAATAAAAATAAGCGGAAAATGCAGGAAAATAGGAAAAACGAGTTGAAATCTCTCAAAGTTGAAACAAAAAAAAAGGAAATAAAAATAGAAGAAAGTTCCACTTGGAAAATGTTACCCACGCAAGTGAAGTTTCCCATTTTAATTTGATTTGGATCGAAAAAAATATGCAAGATGATGGATTTAGTGTATTTGCTTTTCCCATAAACGAGCGAATGAAAAGTGAAGCACTGTTAAAGCAAATAAACACTTTTGCCCATTTACGTGCACATATAGCCTATACATATGTAAATAAGTCGAGACGTAGATAAATAACAAAAGTAAAAAGCAACAAAAAATTTATTTCGACTCAAATGCAAATTTTCATGAGACGGCCTTTTTAGGAAGCAAATTATGCGATGGGAATATAATATGGTTCGGCCTTTTGTTTTGTAGTCAAAAATTTATATATTTCAGAGCAAAAACTGATAAACACGGTAATGGAAGTGTTGTCAGTTCCTAGCTATAGTCGCTCTTCCCATCTTTGAGGCAATTTTCAAATTCCATCTGGAAAAAATGAGTAGTCTTTTCGTGCTATCCCATCGATACTAATATTTGGGTAACGTTATAAGAGTCGAAGCACTGTTTGAGTAAGTAAAAGAAGTAATGCCTGCTGATAACAACGGAGAGGCTAGGGTAGCTTAAAACAGCAGAGATTTGCTGAGCGCCTTTCGCTGTATGGGTTCGAATTTCTGCATGCTGATCACTCACGGTATCCTGAATTTTAGCATAGCATGCAGAGTTTTTGTCTCCAATGCATCAATTAATGTTGGCAGCACACCTTAGTGATGATTTCCTTCAATTGGGGCAACATTTGCCCAACTGATCTTCTTAAATGGGGTCCTTGCATATATTCCACTTTATAGTCAATCTTATTGATTCGGATGCTCTGCGTCATGGTAATTTTAACCCTGCGCATCCATTGTTCGTCACTTGCAAGGATTTAGCAGCACCATACTTCGAATTAGTCAAGAAAATTAAAATTTTTCGCAAATTGATTTTGTTTGGCTGCTCTACGCTCCAGGAAACTATGCCTTGTACAATTTGCACAGTTGCGGATAGCGTAAAGACCACATTTTCAAATGAAGAATTCAAAGTTGTATTCTACATCTATTACAGTACTACTATACTCTTTCTTAGAAAACGGACCAGAGTAATTCTCAATACGTTGAGGATTGGCAAAACCCAATCTGCTATTATCTTAAAGAAAACATAGAATTAAAGGGACTTATACATATAGTGGATATACGAAGGAAGCATAACACGAAAAAATAGATTTTATGACATGATATGTTAGTAAACTGGACGAGGACAAGGAGTTCCACGCGTATCTCAAAACAGCGGCCAAGAATTGCATAAATTGTTTGTTCGTTCCTCGTCATACAGTTTTGAAAGTTCCAAATACGATAAATTTATAAGGCCTCACCGCGTGGTACTGCGTATAAAATTAAGAATATGTGATTTTTTCACATTTCCTTGTTGGATAGGAAATTCTTAAAATGCCCTTAAAGTGAGGTAGAGCTTGTTCACCGGTATTTTACAATTTAGCCAATGCTAAATATGATACGAAAAGTGTAGTGAAAAGATTACTGGAAGCTCTCTCGAAACTTTTACAAAACGTAGTCCTTACAAAATTCTCACTTATATTCCAGGGGAAACACGAGATCTTCGTTAGCTAATTTTATTTAATAACTTTGCGTGCAATTAAAGTTAAAGTAAAGGTATTAAATAATGTCGTTCATTAAAAATTTGTAGGAATTGTGTATGTGCAGAGAATAGTGGAGGCTACGCACAACTCACGAAAACTTTTAACTCTTTTTTGTTTGTCTTTTTTTGTTTTTACTTAATATTACTGCTTGTGTTGCAGTCTGCATTGTAGCAATTGGTGAAAAGAAGCAATCAGAACTGCATACAGGCAAAGAGATTTCATGCGCAATACTGGTGTTATCAATCGTTCAAAACGCTGCATCACTCCATTGCACAGCTGTAGAGCTATTCAGTGCTCTTGTATACTAAAATAGTAAATATTGCAAAAGTTTTAGCATTTAAAGCAATTTCAAAATATCATTGGGTGGAAAAACAAACTAACTAAAAAAATCTCGACTGTTTGCTTTAACTTTCTGTCGGTTAGTTGGGTGGGTGCTAGTGCTATATATTTTGACTTCGAGAAGCACACACTAGCAAAACAATTGCGGTAAAGAAATATAATGGAAATGATGCAAGCAAGTAGAGACTGGAGGATGCTAGGTAATCGTAGGTAGGTAAATAAAAAAATGGATGGATGAATGGGTATTGTATAGGTGTAGGTTAAATGAAGCAATTAGCTAAACACTAAGTAGTAGTAAAAAAATATTTTTATAGATAATGTCGGTGCCAGAGAGGGATAGAAGAAGGTAGATGTAACGAGTATACGATGAAGATAAATTCTGCGCAGTTGACCTAATTTGTAGACGACATTGTAAGGTAGCAGGAGAAGATGAAAACGAGGAGAAAAGCGAAAGGTCTACGCGAGTTTCAATACTATATAATATACCGGTCAATAATTCACGGGACGGCATAAGAAAAAACTTTATTTGAATCAATCCTGGCTTTTATCATCAACATTACTCTCTTGACGAGTGAAACAGTCAATCCAGACTTTGTCTTTTCCACGCCTTTTTGTAGATCAATACGTCAAGACCTTGAAGTTGCACTTAAATTTTCGCACTGACCTCATGTTGTGATCTAAACCTTTTTCTTTGGATCATGTCTGTGAGATCGACAAACAAATAATAGTCACTGAGGCCCACCTGCAGAGCTTGTAATGAGGCAGCGATTCCAACTCTAATTCAGGCAACGTCGTCCTTATCGTCGTCCACTTTTAGAACGGTGCTTCTATTTCCCTGTTAATTAACACGGTACCGGAAACCAACTTTATAATGTCCATATGTTTGTGAGAATAGTACTGAATGTAGTGGATTTAGATGTTTTTAGAATATCATCAATTATTTATTACAAATTGCAACATCCAATAATAGAAATAAGAATACTTTTCGGAATCTTTTTATGTTTTGCGATGGAACCACTTCAACAAACTCCAAATTGTTGTGTTCGACATAAAAGAGCTATAGCAATACCTTTCAAGCCGACATCGAACTTAAATGGTATTTTTCTTTAATAAAAATCACCGACTCTCGCAACATTAGCCACGTGAATAAGAATCAGGAGTAATAAGTCAATGTTTGCCGATTCAAACTTCAGTGCATTAGCGCATACTTGATCGTAGCTATGGTTAGAGCGCGGTCCGTAAAGGTATAACACTTAACGGCTGGATACACACACACACTAGACTGTAGCCACTCTTTATTTCTTCTTTCTTTTTTCTCCCTTCTGGTGCTACTGTATTACACTACTATAGGAAACATGGTCATGTTGGTTGCTTATAGTAAAAAAAAAAAAAAATGTAAAATAAAAAGAACGTAGATTTTCTGTAAAAGGTGATATCTATAAGCCAGTGCCGGTAGTTATTGATCGAGGTTTTAGACAAATTCTTATTTTGATTTCAGTTCCAAACCAAAATACTCCGAGTACTTACATATTCTTTTAATTACACGCGAAATAAGTCCAATGCCTTCTAACAAGATGTGAATGTAACAGTTGCTTTTAAACTGTGTTGGTTGTAGTTGTTGGTTATTATTATTGTTGCTGTTATCACTGTTGGTCGTAAGTTAGTTAGTTTTGTTGCTATTTACAATTCCTTCACTCACATCATATATTTACAATAGTTGCTGTTGTTGTTGTTATTGAAGTTGTACACAAACATACATGAAAACGTAGAGGCAAGAAGCACGTCTGAAACTCTGTTAACGGGTGGAAGACTGACTGTTTTATTTTTTATTTATTTATTTATGTATATATAATTTTTTTTAAGAAACTTTTTCTTTCACTAAAACACAAAAAAATAAATAAAGTAAAATGAAGTACGCAGTCGGGATACTTAGTTACACAACAAATTATCGATGCACCATTAACAACGTGCAGCCAAAGCTGTGCACAGGCACAAAATAATAAAAGCTGTGCATGATAGACACGCATGTATACATACGCAGTGCCAGGAACAACAACTGTCTGCTTACGACAACTTCTTTCTTTTGCAATTTTCTTTCCGTTTCCGGTTGTTTGGCTTGTTTTATAACGTTTTCACTTGTTTGTCTTCAACAGAAATACAAACATACACAGTCAAACAAGTATACAAAGTACTTACTAACATAAGTAATGCATCGTTCAACATCAATACACATGCATATACGTAAACGTGCACACGTATACAATTATATGTATCGGCGGAGAGACACTCATTTCAGGCATGTTCGTGTTAAACTCTAGCAAAGATTATATTTTTTTTTTGAACGTGCTTTACTTTTAACTGTTGAAGTTATTGCTGTTATTATTGTTGGCGCTGCGAACAAATAGGAAAATAATTGAAGGATAAACAACATTAATATCAACAGCAGTCACAGCGGCAACAATAATAGCATTAAGTTAAGCAACAGCATGTTGCCTGCTCATCTGCCGCGATCACAGCATAATATTCAATTAAATTGCGGTGTAGCAAATAATAATATGCAAAGAAAATCGTATATAAGGCTTTAGTCGAATTTTTTGACTTTCACCGCCTGTGATAAGATATAATGTAATGATTATTGTTACGTTTATGATAATGATGGTCATCATTGTTTACGAGCGTAACAGTTAAGACCCTTTAAACGTGTATACATAGTTTCGATTAGCGTAAGACCCTAATTCAATTTAATCATATCGGTCTGTTCATTCTCCGCCAGTCTGTCTTGTAACCTCGGAAAACTCATGATCGAGGCATTTGAGATACGCAGTTCAAACTTGACTATTGCTTATAGATTAAATTTTAAAATGAACATCCCACTATATCTAGAGCAAAAGAACGGTACTTTACAGGCTACAACGGATAATTATTTGCCGCCAGGAACAAATATTTCTTGGGACTAATAACAAGTCTAAGGGCAGAAGCCTCTCTTTTCATCAAATGCCGCACTCACACTTTAAAAAATCTCTGCTAACATTTATCCCGCTTCCAGTATCATCATAGCGGATTATTAATGTGATTATATCATTCTTCTGCCTTTCCCCCCTTAGACACGTTTCATTTGTATATGTTCTTCCATTAAATATCAGATCTCCGGAACATCTTCTTTCTGGCTTTACCTAAGCTCAGACTTGTTTATGCTACTATAGCGTGCAACATATTTAAAAATTCACGACAACCAACATGACCAGCCCAAGATCTGACGACCTAAAGGACAGGCACGTAGCTGTATAGGCAGCACACTGAACGATATTAAATGCATTTATAATGGTTGCGGACAGCATCGGACAGCCAACAGTTGAGTATGTTGCATGTACATACACTCTCTGCTACCATCATCAGCATCATCAAACTTATAGAAATGCCAATAATAACAACACCAACAACAATAGGCCACAATAACATCAGCAGTGAGTTGAGATAATTTTTAGCATTTGTTTGCAACACTGTTGGTTGCTTTACCACTTACCCTAACTTCTAGGGTCCATTGTCATTGAGTGGGTGAATTATGGTATTCGTATATGGTAAGACGCGTACGTTCATTCACAAACCCTGCGCTTTTTAAAGTACACGTTTTAAAATTGATGTGCAATGTGATAACAACAATAACAGTAGCAGCACCAGCAGTGGTAGGTAGGACCCCTTGAAATGTACGATTATAACAAACTAGAAATAACGGTCGGAAGGCTGCTTGATGCTTGTGTTAATATGCATTGTGCCTGCTCGCATCCAAAAACCTACCCTCATACTCAGAAACGGAAAGGCTAGGATGCTTCTTCGCGACACATACCCATACATACGAGCATCGGTATGAACATATATCATGTTCTTGTTTCTTTAACAACAACAGCAGCATCAACATCAGGAACAGTTGAATATACAAAAGGAGTCATATGTTTTTGCATAAAGCAGAGGTTACTACTACATGGGTTCGCTTAGAAGGCGCGCATTTAAAATGCTCAACAGCAGTTTGAGGTTTTCGTATTTTTTTTTTTACTTTGTTTTATTTTTATCTTCACATGCTTTAAATTAATTGCTTTTCATTATTCATATGACCGGTAATTCTTCAACTGGTTAAATTCAAATTAGAAAAGAGATGTGAGCAACACAACCACAATACACAACAACAATGAACAGGAAGAGCTAGATGAATATGCGAACATTTTAGCAGAAAAAAAACGATACAAAGTTTAATATTATATTTTACCTCCTCTCCTAATAGCTAACAATTGCATTCGAATTTTTAATTAGTAAAAACAAAAAATGTTGTTGTTATTTTCTATATAAATTATTGTCGTCAATTCCACTGATTTATGTTTACTCTTAATTTAGTTGTGAATTTTATTTATTTATTTATTTATTTTTTTTTTTATAATTTATTTCTTATTCGGTTATCATTATTTTATACAATATTTAATTTTTCATTTTCAATAAAAAAGTCACTTTTCATCATGACTCTCTACGTTTTGCTTCATTTATTTATTTTTTCTTTTACAATGTTTTCTTTTTATTCCTCTTAATCAATCAGTTATTTATTCAATTTTCGTGGCGTTGTCAAGCATTTCTTTTAACCCAACACGCGTAAGAGTCTTTTTGTTACTAAATACAATTGAAAAATTATCAAAATATCCTTGCGGTTCCTTGTGCAGCATTATGACATCGGTCGTATGTATGTGTAAATATGTATATATGTATAGTCTGCTAATCGTGTCTTCTCCATTAGCACTCGTTATAACAACGGCAGCAGGAGCATCAGTCAAGCGCGATTCGTACTCTTAGCTACAATTCAATTATTACTTCGTTTATTCATCCATTGGTGGGTGGAATAATGCTATGAGTAGTTAAGTTTTTACTTTCCACCACGTGGTGCGCTAAGTTCTCACGTGTAAGCAGAAAACTCTGATTAAAAACTAAGTTTCATGAATGACTTTTACATTCTATTTATTTATTTATTTTCCCTTTTATTGCAGCACGTATGCTTGGACACACCAATCTCAAAATATAGCAACCTTTTCTAAATCCACATAATATTTACCTTATGTAGAATGTGAATGTGAAATTTGTGGTACCAAACTCAAAATATTTTATTCTATGCGCCTGTCATTTGAGAGAGTATCACACTCTTTCGTGCTTATTCGGTTCAATATATCCACGCTATAAAGAGTACAATCAACTCTCTTTCTATGCCTGCAGAGAAAGATATTAAGAGTAATTGCGTCATCACGAAATTATAAAGAAAAGTAGAAAAAGATTATGTATAAGAAAGATATGTTAAGGCTGTTTTGAATTAGTTTAGTTAAGGCGGTTTTAGTGCAGATTAGAAGTAATTTGATTAAGCGTGCTATCAGAGCAGCAAACTGCACAGATACTTAGGGAAGGCAAAACCGTCTATGGATAGGAATAAATCGAGTCAGTCAAGTAGAAGATAACAATGTTTTTTCTGAAACTTGAAATTTAATCAACTGTATGAGATTTTGTAGCAGACCTAATGCGTAGGCAATAGCATAAAATCAGGCATTCCTTTGATCGGTAATGAACTCTTTCTCAAACGCTGAATTTAAAAATAATCAAGTTCAATACAGACTCTTACATGTATCCATGAGCTTCAGAATCTACTTGCTATTAAGTAATTGAAGGAGTTCTTTGTATTGTCTTGTGAATGACTAATCGAGAAATTTTCCCGAATTAACTAAAATATCGCTTTGCGGCTTTAAATCGAGTTTCTTAATGCTTATTTTACCTACTAATAGTCATCATCGTCTTTAATGCATTAAGAAATTCTAAAACAAGACACGCAGTTAGGAGTGAAAGTCTTTCCAACTTGGATTGGAGGCTTGAAGGTGCTCCGGAATCGGAAACAACAATTCTAAAAAGAGCAACCAATTAAAAAGACAATAAATAGTAGAAGGGGGGTAGTAGTGAGTCATACTTCATATTCAGCGTTAATTATATTCGTGTAGAAATTTGTAGCTTAGTGAAATAAAAGTAACTTTGACTTTTCGACAAGCAAAGGAAAACGATCCCTGCTCAACGTAAATTTGTCGATGTTAAAGTTGAATGTCGTTTACGAAATTCGAAAGAAAATAACAAAAAAATTCTTTGTTTAATACGACAAATTTTTTATTTTTAAAAATCAAAAATGAAACGATTCCATTTGAAATCAACTCGATGGAGTTTAATGAGAGTTTCGTTTTAGCAGCATCAGCGGATAGAAAACGTTCAATTCCTTAATGACCGCTCGACCGCCCGCTTGAGTACTGAAATTATACCATTTTCGAATAAATGCCTCTTCATTCAGATAGCATGGACAATCGTAAAAGGAATAGAATAGTTCTTAATACATTTGTAAAAGGGAAAAATTTGCAAAGCAAAACACTCTTATGGAAATGGCAGTTAAAGTGTTGAGAAAATGAATCAGTTTTTTTTTTCGGCAAAAAATTTTTCGCACGTACTGTAGACGGTAACAGATACACGTTCAAGCGCAAATTAGCCTGATTATCGTTTTCGTATTCTACAGACGTTATAATGTAATTCAAAGACAGTCGATAAGATATGTAAAGCACCAAATACCCCCACTTAACACCACTCAGCTACTTCATCTTAAGGTGAGGTGTTAATAATATCATTATAATTTGTTTAGACAAAAGAAAAAAAAAGATAGTCTAGTTGATTGGTCCAGTCGTACGGTAAAATCAATCAAAGTAAAGTAATGTCAATTCGAAAAATCAAGCGTGGACGTTACAAGCAATAAATAAGTCTTCTTATTCTGAAATTTTTTTAATTTCGTCTGGCCACTCATCATAGTTAGTGGCAATAGTGTTGGCTTGCGTTTGTGAAAACATGATGTGGTAAAGACGAAAGCCGTGATCGAAAGATCGCAAATGTATGGCACATTAGATGAGACAATTTCACAGCAGCGACCAGTACAAACGTCTTTTTACCTAGTAAAATGGCCTTGAAGTAGGAGCATATTCCTAATCGGTTTTAGCAAGTAACCATTGTTCCGTTATTCCATTGGTCCAGAGTTTAGATTACGATCACAAAATGCTTTCTTACAGGAATATGTGCTCAGTTGAAATGGCTTCGAAGACCCAAATAGCTGATTTTCAAAGCAATTCGAAGAGCGTCTCAGTTGAGTAAAGTGTCAAAATTGAGGGAATCTATTTTTAGCAACACTCCTTTTCTATTCTTTGAATGTATCTTTAGTATATACGAATCATCTCCCGGCTTTCCTTCCAGCAGCCGACAATACATTTATATAGGTTTTTGTCGATGATTAACTTTATACCTAACTAGATTGCTGCAAATCAGCAAGTGTTACTCAACTAAAAACTCTCTCTCTATCAATGAACTTACTTGCCTCGCTCCTAACAAGCAGGCTTTTGAAGTAATTTAAAAAAGATCTATTTGAAAATTTAAAAAAACAACTGTTTATACTGTTCGTCGTCCGAGCGTTTGGTTTACAAGCACAAGCATTCTAAATCAGTTTGTCATCCCAAGAGAAATTTACTACAGATCCTAAAAATTTTTACAATGTTTTCAACTATATTGAGTATGACAGGCAAGTAAAACAGTTCCCGTGCAGAATTCCATTCCAGCGACTTGACGTCTGTGGAGGTACCTGTTATTTAAAATCTATTTATGAACTTTTCCGCAAGGAAATGAGTCTCCGAATACCGTAAGTATTGGAGTGTTTAGTAAAAAATTAAGCACAGTTCATGGTTACTCAAATTAAACGTCATTGCATACCTACCTGCCTATCAAGCTAAACTTCACGTTACCGAATATGCAGAACATAGAAATTTATTTTAAAGTTTCCACCTGATAGCTTTCCGTTTAGTTCTCTATGGTCGATATTGCAAACTACTATTTATTGCTCTAATACTATTGTGTTAGGTCTCTTAAAAAGTCTTGAACGTTCCTGCTTATCTCAGCCTGGCGGAGACTTAAAGAGAAACTTACTTCTTTCAAAACAAAATTACCTTTTCCCAGACTCCTTTCTACATTAGTGCCGCCGGCTTAGGCAGTTATATAACGAAATAATAAAATAAGAAAAAAGGGCTTTAAGTTTCAGTAAATACTCGTCTTAACGAATTTCGTGATTCCGTTCCGTTGCTAACATATCACTTTGGTCTGTTTCAAATAATGTCGGGTCTGCACTGCTTATTCAAAGGAGTTTAATGATAAATACAAACTGGACACAGTTCAGCCTTGCGACTAAAATTTTTGGTTTTTTATTCCTTAAAAACTACACAAAGGACAATTTAAAAACAGCGCTAAATTAAAGTTACGAGAAGTGTGTATTTGTGTTTATTGTACACTGCACCGCTTGTGGTATAGGGTATATTAGGTTAATGTAGGTGTATTTACCACCCAAGACGTCTCAAGATGGAATCATTTTTTATTATATTAACGAATAAGAAAATCATTCTAAGTAAATCTGTCTGTCCATGTATGTTTGTGTTCAACAATTTTTCAGCAATTTTTGAGATATTTTTATAATATTTCGTACTTTGGCCGAAGGGTGAACCCTACTAAAAATGGTTGTCTGCAGAACCACTTTTCTACAAAAATTCTTGAATAATAGTATTTCGGCATTCTAAGTTGTTGTTGAAAAATTTGTATCACATGGGACAATTGTCTGAACTATCTCCCATACAGTATCATCACAAAACTGAATAAATGACTGTATCAGAAGAGGTGGTGTAGGCTTACTTGTTTTTACTTTTATTTTTATACCGATCGCCGAAAGGTGATTGGCGTACACGTTTTATCAAACCGTTTGCAAATCCCAGTAGGAGGCTGCAGCAACCCCGGACAGTATATATAATCTTGATTATCACCAAATTATGAATCGACCTAAGCATGTCCGTCTGTCCGTCTGTATAGTGTCTGTTGTAAACATTCTCCTGACCGCGAAAACGAAGGCATTGACTTCAATTTTGGCAGAAATCTTGAAAGTTCTCCATCGTTGCTTGGTATTGAAGATGGGCCAAATTGATCATGGGTAGTAAACAATCTCCCGTTAGCGGAAATGAAGATATTGTCTACAAATTTACAAAAGAATTTGAAATTGACCTTAAGTATTCAAAGTACACGCCTACCACGCCCTCATGCCTATACGACGAAGACTTTTATTTTGAATATAAAAGAAATCAGCCGCACCCTCTCGATATTATAGAGCATGAAAATTTTGTTCTTTTACTTCTTTTTTCCTTTCTTATGACAATAGTGATGGATGTAAAAGATTCTGTCCCGACCGAATTTAACTTTCTTACTTGTTTAGTCTCGTTTAGAACGATGGCGACGGGTGTAAAAAATTCGGCCCCGAACAAATATAATTTTCTTACT